CAATGTCCACAACTTTATTTGATTGTGCATAAGGACCATCTGGCTGAGCACCTGCGTATATTTCCATATGGTAGGCATAAGGTACCTTTGTATCCGTTAGTAAAAATATGTTTATCCCATACTTTGCTGGTTGCTTCATCAGTAATAACTTCTTCCAACCATCTCAAAATATGTTCCATCATTGTGCGAAATATAGTTACTTCGGTTAAAAATAATATTATCAAACAAAAAAAATTCATAATAACAATATTTATACATAATACAAACACTTACATAAAATAATAAGGGGGATAAGTCGCTCGCGTCCGTAGGCTTTGACCACCTAATCCTAGGCCCACCCTACACGTGTCCCCCGGGTGGTGCTAAATGAGCAACAAGCCGATAGCACAGACTCGGCTCCTCGCCGTGGTAGCGGCGTTAAATATACCACCCCATAGTTTCGCACCATGAGGCATCAAATTAAAGAAATGGCCCCGAGTTCCCGGCGCCCCTTTAATGCGTCAGGGGTGCGAAGAATCTCCTGGAGGAAAACCGGCGACGAGGCTCGCCACCCGTCACGTTCTGTCTCCCGGAGAGGCGAAAAGTGGATTGCAGAGGCCCGTCTGGCTACGTTGAATGTATGTGGAGCAATGAATGATAAAATGGATGAAGTATGCGAGGTGATGTATGATAGAGGAATAGATTTGTTATGTGTAAATGAGACGAAACGGAAGGGGAAGGATGTCACTACACATGGCATGTATACCGCATACTGGTCTGGTGTAGACGAGCTCGAGCGGGCATGCCAGGGAGTAGGTATCATCCTATCAGAAAGAATGGTGCAATGTGTGAAAGAGTATGAATGTGTAAGCCCAAGACTGCTATGGATACGATTGAAAGTGGGCTTAAAGAAGTTGTTTGTGCTAGGGGTCTACGCCCCAGACATGTCTAAGCCCACTCATATCCGAGAGCAGTTTTGGGAAATGGTAAGGATGGTATTAATGAAATGTAAGGGAAATGAAAATGTTGTTATGCTAGGAGATTTTAATGGAAGAGTTGGGGTGAGGAGGCTTGGTTATGAAAGGATATTGGGAACGTTTGGTGATGAAAGTATAAATGAGAATGGTGAAAGCCTCCTCACTGTATGTATGGAAAAGAATCTTTTTGTGACGAACACTTTCTTTCGCCACAAGAGGATTCACATGTACACTTGGGAAAGAGGTGATGATAGAAGCATGATAGATTTCATAATTGTGGATGAAAGATTGAGGGGCGCAGTGGTGGATACAAGGGTTTACCGGGGGTCAAACGTAGGAACGGATCATTTTTTGGTTTTATGCCGAATAAATGGTCTATTCAGGCGGTGGCGCCATCGGTCATCTGTGTCTACCACTGCGTTACAGCGTATTAGAACAGAAAGATTACAAGATGAAGGTGAGAAAAACAAGTTTAAATGTAGACTGAAAGAAAACGTAAGTGGTTTGGATGAATTATGTATGAATGAGTTAGACTTGGAGAACGTATGGCTAAATGTTAAGAAAGTAGTAGATGCAGCTACCGAAGTATGTGGTGTTAGTAAAAGAAAGAATGAAAGGAAAAATAATACGTTATGGTGGGATGATGAGATACGTACGGAAGTTGAAGCAAAGAAGAGAGCATGGCTAGATTTACTAGCAACTAAGGCTGGTAATTCTAGCGGTACGAATGATGATTTTGAAAGAAAAAAGGCAGTCTTTAGACATCTAAATAAAAGAGTAAAAGAAGTAGTTGAAAGGAAAAAGCAAGAAAGAACGGATAAGAATGATAGAAGAATATCGGATAACTTCCAGGCAAATATTAAAATGTTCTGGAAACTCGTAAGAACTGCCAGGGGATGTTCAAAACAGCCTATAATGAATGCTATAAGAGATGAGAATGGCTATATTCTGAATGATGAAGTTTTGAGTTTAAAGAGATGGAAGGAATATTCTGAAAGCATGTCTATGAGTGAGGAGACAACGTATGAACTGAATGAAATAGAAACTCCGAAAGAAGAGGAAGGAGGTAGCGAGATAAGTATAGATGAAATAATGAAAGCAATGAAAAGCATGAAAGCAGGTAAGGCTGCCGGGTATGATAGAGTTTCACTCGAAATGCTAAGGGCTGGAGAGGAAGTGGTGGCAGGCCTGCTGCACACCTTGTTTAATTTATGCTGGGAACTGAAGCGGGTACCGGGAGACTGGTGCAAAGCCGTGATAGTCCCAGTATATAAGGGAAAAGGGTCCCAGCAGGACTGTAAAAACTACCGCTGTATCAGCCTTCTTAGCATCGTGGGAAAACTGTATGCCAAGGTACTAATTGAAATGGTCATGAAAGAAACCGACGGAAAAATTTGGGATGTGCAAGCGGGATTTAGAAAGGGAATGGGATGTGCAGATCAAGTCTTCTCCATGCGTATGATCGCGGAGAAGTTTTTGGTCAAAAACCAAAAGGTTTTTTATGCGTTCATGGACTTGGAGAAGGCCTATGACAGAGTGGATAGGAATGTGCTATGGCAAACACTGAACTCATTTGGGGTGATATCTATGAATCTCTTTATAGGGACTCTAGTGCTTGTGTTAGGATCAACGGGGTCTACTCGGACTGGTTTGGCATCCACAAAGGTGTCAGACAGGGCTGTGTGGTTTCCCCGTGGTTGTTCAACCTATTTATGGACAGTTGTTTGCAAAATTTGAAAGTTGAAGAATGCGGATTAAGAATGGGTGAGTTAACCATCAAATGCCTTTTGTACACCGATGATCAAGTTATTCTTGCGTCGGCGGCGGCTGAGTTGCAAATAATGGTTACATTAATGAACAGATCATTAAAAGAAAGGGGTATGAAAGTGAACGCAAGTAAGACAAAAATTATGGTTTTTGAAAGAGATGAAGTAAAACGATATGTGAAATAAGAATAGAAGGGGAGTTGATCGAGTAAGTAGATGAGTTTGTATATTTGGGTTGTGTATTTAGCAGGGATGGGAGATATGATAGGGATATAGAACGACGAGTGAACGCAGGAAACAGAGTAAATGGATCCCTGCACTCTATTGTGAAGAGTCAAAATGTGTCAAAAAAGGCACGTATGGCAATTCACAATGCTGTGTTGGTCCCTACTTTAACGTATGGTAGTGAAAGTTGGGTATGGCAGAAGAAGCACGAGAGTAGAATAAATGCAGTAGAAATGCGGTCGTTAAGGAGTATGTTAGGGCTGAATGTGAATGACAGGGTGAAAAATTGTGTGATAAGAGAAGAGTGTGGTTTGCAAGATGATGTTGTGACCAGGATTAAGAAAGGAATGCTTCCGTGGTTTGGTCATGTGGAAAGAATGGATGAGGAAAGAGTGACAAAGAAAATTTATGTTGCAGAAGTGAATGGCAGAGTCGGAAAGGGACGTCCTAGGCGAAAATTTATCGACCAAATTGGCGATTTATTGAAAACGGGCCAAATTAGGAGTACCCTTAACCGACGAGCATGCATGCGTAGGTGTATGGATGGGAAGGAGGCGAGAGAGGTGTGTCAGGATCGTGCCAAATGGAAGTCTGTAGTCTCTGCCTACCCCTCTGGGTGACAGGCGTGAGTGTTTATGTATGTATGTTTATGTTACATAAAATAAAAACGATAGGTAAACTTCTGACAAAAATGACACGCGATTGCTCGCGCGCTCTACTATTGTAGAATTCTAGTTTTAGTGCGAAATTTCTAACAAGTGCGATCGCGCAGTTTGTCGAAAGGGTACTAATTGTGATCACCAGCTAGTAATAGAGGAATACTATGAGTGTGTGCGTTAAACACCCACAATTAATGTTAAAAATCGCACGAAATGCAGACCTGTTCTACAATAGTAGAACGCGCGACTAATGGGGGTGTTAACAATTGTTCTAACTTCTCACTGGATCAACATTTACCGTGAAAGGATGATTATATGAATATATATATATATATATATATATATATATATATATATATATATATATATTCATCATCATCGACATCATCATCGTCGTCATCATAGTAATAATCATCGTAATATCATCGTAACTGCATACACAGTTTCCACGAGCTTGTCATTCATATTGTCCACTGCATTGCAATCTTCTAGGCACTGAAAACGGTTTTGTAACTCCAGCTGAAAGTTTTCGGGATTTTGGATTAGAGCACGAGGGGGACTGAGTGTTGACTTCATTAGACGATACCACTCCAACTTAACGTTTGGGTTCAGTGTGCCTCTAACCATTCGGTGATCGCTGCCAGTTTTCACCCTTGCGATCACTGAGACATTTCTGAACAGTTACCGTCTAGTCGTCATAATGAAGTCAATCTCATTTTTTGTCGAACCGTCGGGGCTCGACCAGGTTCACTTTCTGTGGGGTCGCTTCTGAAAGAAAAGAGTTCATCATAAAGAATCCTTCTTTATCCTTTAAGTCGGCCATCTGCTGTGCCCTTGGATTCCGTTGTCTTATCCCAAATATCCCTACCTTCAGCTCACCGATTTTTCTTGTTTTGCTTTGCGTTGAAGTCTCCCATTAACACCGTATAGTGGATTTTGAAAGAATGCATGGTTTTAGAAATATCCTCATGCATTTCCTCCACCTCCTCATCGGGATGTGCCAAGGTTGGTGCGTAAACATGTATGACCTTCAGCGAATACCGTATGTTGATTCTGAGTATATTGTACGCAACCCTCGTCAACACACTCCCAATCTTTATAAACTTGTTAACGAGAGACTTGTGGACGATAAATCCAACACCTCCTTGGGACAGATAGTCATCCTCTCGGTGATAGAACGAGTTGCCGGATTCGAGAATCACCGTGTACTCCCCCTCTCTTCACACCTCAGATAGTCCTATAATATTCTAACACAACTTGTCTATCTCTTCTTCCAATTCCAGGATTTTAGGTGGCAACTGAATCTCCAATGGAGATTTTTAGCACACCCTGCCCTGCCGTTACCATGGTCTGGGGGCCGTCTATTTGCGTCGTTGCTCATGTGGGGTATATTGCTATAGTTGCCACGCTTGGCGAGAGGAATCGTCATCGTCATCGTCATCATCATCTACTTCGTTATCGTCTTCATCATCGTCATCATCATCATCATTGTCATCATCATCGTCATCGTCATCGTTATCAACATCGTCATCGTCATCATCATCATAATCATCATCGTCATCGTCATCTTCTACAGCATCATCATCATCGTCGTCATCGTCATCATCATCATCGTCACCGTCATCATCATCGTCATCATCATCATCGTCATCACCATCATCGTAATCGTCGTCATCGTCATCATCATCATCGTCACCGTCATCATCATCGTCATCATCATCATCGTCATCATCATCATCATCATCATCTTCATCATCGTAATCGTAACCATCGTTGTCATCATCATCGTTATCGTAATTTTCTTCAGCATTGTCGTCACCATCATCATCATCGTCATCGTCATCATCATCGTCATTGCCATTGACATCGTTATCATCATTAGCAACATCGTCATCTTCATCTTCATCATCATCTTCATCATCGTCATCGACATCGTCATCATCATTATCATAATCATCATTATCATCATAATCATCATAATCATCGTCATCATCGTCATCGACATCATCAACAAAATCATCATAATCGTCATAACCATCAGCATCATCATCATCGTCATCGTCATCATCGTCATCGTGGCCGTGAAAGGAAAAGGGGGAGATCTCCCGCCGGGCAAGGTGTTCTGCCCGGGGAGCGGCCGACACTCCGTGTGATAGTTCGGAGATGTTCTATATATACTGTTTCTGATTCGGAATGTTGATATAGTGATTTAGGCTTCTGTGTATTTCGCTTGTGGCGCGACGACAGCGCCGCCACATCACCCCCCTGCTCAGACCGGAAGTCGATAGTGCAGTCTCGTTGTCGACGAATGTGCAAGTGCCAGGAGATTGCCTTGTAGTCTGCAGTGAGTAGACAAGGCAAGTAACCTGCGAGAGTGCCGTGAAGCAGAGGCGAGCAGTAAGGCTCAGAGCTGTGCCGAACACTGTATGGCGCAGAGAGTAGCTTGAAGGAACAGGAAGCATTATTATTCCAGTGCTGCGATGAACCTTGTGAAGCTAGATGGCTTGCAGGATATGAAGACTGCAGACGATATCTGCTCGGGAGCGAATGGGTGGGGTATTCTATGACGATGATGAAGCTTGAAGTTTCCGAAGGTTGTTTGGTTGCGTATTCAGATCACGTCGGATGGTCACCAGTATAACGAGGCGTTGTACTTGCAGGTATTATTAGCCTGACCAGGTATATTAGCCTGACTCCAATAAAACAGACACTCTAATAGTTTATTCCTGCACACAAGTTTATTTATTTACTTACACAACACTTACAATTTGATATCACTTACTATTTCTATTATTATATACTATTTATTATTTTTAATCACTATATTTTGCGGAGTAACGAGGGTGAGCGTGGCACGAGCTCCCGCAGCGAATGCATATATCTACTACTCACTAACTTGACCGGTAAAGCAGGCACAAGTACTTCGATACAAAAAAATATTGTTAACAGCAAATTGGTCGATTCATGCGGAAAAGTTAGTAAGTAGGATTTCTTAAGTGATTAATTAATTTTAAATTAAGTTGTTGAATTTATACAAAAAAATATTTATTATAATTTAGAATTTTGATTTTATATATGTGATAGATAGATGAAATTAATTTATTTTATATTATAATGTATTAAAATTAAAATTTATTTAATACACATCACCTGTGTCACATCACTCCCCTGCCGAGACCGTTTCACGGGCGATAGTAGTCTGGAAATCGCACTACTCTTCCGCTTAGTGTTTTCTTTAGAGTATTCTCACTTTGACCAGTTGTGGGAGCTTGGGTTTCCTTTTCTGTAGGTGTTATTTCCTCTGGATAAAGAGATGATCCACTGCTGTAAAGGTATGCAGGCTTGAGTCGGTCTATAGTAACCGTACTTTCCATACCTTTTATCATCAATTTGAAGGTCTTAAGACCCCTTTCCAGGACTTTATATGGTCCTGAATAAGGAGGTTCCAATGATGGTGTAGCTGGACCCTGACGTAAAAAAAAACGTATTCAGCCGTCTGAAGATCTTTAGGGATGTAGAAGGTTTTAGTTCCGTGCCATGTAGCTGGGCGAGGTCTTAAATTAGCCATGTGACGTCGAAGGCGAGATGCGAAATCCTTGATGTCGGCGGTGAAGTCTGGAGAGGGAACGAAGAATTCTCCTGGTAACCGTAAAGGTTCTCCGTATACCAATTCTGCAGCTGATGTTTTGAGGTCCTCTTTCCAGGCGCTTCTTATACCTAGAAGCACAAGTGGAAGGATTTCTGTCCACTGCGTGTTATTGTGGCACCTGATTGCAGTTTTTAGCTGACTGATTTTTTGTCTTTCTACCATACCGTTGCTTTGTGGGTGGTATGAAGTGGTTGTAGACAACCTGGCACCGATGAGAGTTGCGACGGCCTGGAATAATTTGGAGTCGAACTGCCGTCCCCGGTCTGTGGTGATCTTCTGTGGGCATCCGAAACGGGCTACCCAACCGCTGATTAAGGTTTTGGCGCATGTTTCAGCCGTGATTTCTTCTAATGGGTAGGCCTCAGGCCATCGCGTATATCTGTCGATGACGGTGAGGCAGTACCTGTAATGAGAAGAAAGCGGTAATGGCCCTACTATATCCATGTGGATATGGGAGAAACGTTGTGATGGAGTAGGGAAAGTGGAGTAAGGTGAAGAGGTATGGCGGTTGATTTTGCTGCGTTGGCAATCTGTGCACTGCTTCGTCCATTCTTTGCAGTCTCGACGAACACCGGGCCACACGAATCTTTCGGAGATGAGCTTTGCTGTGGCCGAAGCTCCTGTATGACTGAGATTGTGCATTTGGGAGAAAACTTGTCTTCTAAATCTTGGAGTAATATATGGCCTCGGAGTGTGTGTTGAGATATCACAATATATTGTAGCTTCGGGTGACTTAACCTTTTCTAATCGAAGCGCTGTTCCCTTATTGATTAAATCCTGCAGTTCAGGGTTTGAGTTCTGATCGTTTGCAAGATCTTCATAGTTAAGGGTTTCAGAGATAGTCTCAACACGTGACAACGCATCAGCAACAGTGTTATCACAGCCTGACACATGTTTGATATCCGTGGTAAATTGAGATATGAAGCTTAAGTATCGGTGTTGGCGTGGAGAACAATTGTCTCTTTTTGTGACAAACGCAAAGGTAATTGGTTTGTGGTCGGTGTACACCGTAAAATGCCTGGCTTCGACCATAAAACGAAAGTGTTTGATAGCTTCGTATATTGCCAATAATTCTCTGTCATATGGACTGTATTTGTTCTGTGCTGACGTAAGTTTTCTGGAGAAAAACGCTAGGGGTTCCCAGCAGTTTCTCACTTTTTGCTGTAGAACGGCTCCTATGGCTTTATCAGATGCGTCAGAGTATAGTGATAATTCTGCGTGAGGATTTGGATGTGCTAACATCAGACAGCGAGGATTTACATTCTTCGAATGCCTTCAGCATCTCGGGGCTCATGACTACCGGTTTGGATCCTTTAATATTTTTGCCACATAATGCATCAAGAAGTGGAGCTTGTGTACTTGCTGCATCCTTCAAACACCTACGGTAATAGTTCAGCATACCGAGGAATCTTCGGAGTTCTCTAGCTGTTTTTGGTAAAGGGAAGTCTTTGATCGCTGCCACTTTCGTCTCCATTGGACGACTTCCTTGCGCTGAAATGTGGTAACCCAAAAAGTCTACTTCCTTGACACCTAATATACTTTTAGAAGTATTTATGAGTACTCCGTATTTTTCAAGTCGTCGAAAAAGTGTCTTAAGGTGTTCCATATGCTCTTCTTCGGTATGTGAAAATATCAATATGTCGTCAAGATATCCAAATGTGAAATCTAGTCCTTGGAGTACCTCATCTATGAATCTTTGAAACGTCTGGGCTGCATTCCGGAGGCCAAACATCATGAATGGGAACTCGAACAACCCAAACGGAGTCGTGATCGCTGTCTTTTCGATATCACTCTCAACTACAGGGATCTGGTTGTAAGCCTTCACTATATCTAATTTGCTGTATATATTACAACCAGCAAGCTGATGAGCAAAGTCTTGTATGTTTCTGAGTGGGTAGCGATCCGGGATGGTTCGTGCATTTAAAGCTCGATAATCACCACACGGCCTCCAGCCATCGTCTTTTTTGCGTACTAGGTGTAGTGCTGAGGACCAAGAGCTTTCCGAGCGTCGTGCTGTGCCGTTCTTCAACATTTCCTCAAATTCCTTTTTAGCTATGAGGAGTCTATCAGGAGCTAAACGACGAGGTCGTGCTGCTACTGGAGGTCCTGGAGTAACGCGAATGTGATGCTTGGTATTATGTTTGGGTTCTGACGTCATGCCAGCCGGTTTCGTTATGGTAGGGTATTGGCGAAGTAATTCATGATACTTCGAACTACCATTAAAAGTTTTGATGGCTTCTATCTGGTCGTTTTTGTGGTGAGGCACTGTTATTGATAGACTTGTGAGGCCGTCGATAAGTCTATGATGACGGCAGTCGACTAATAAATCGTAATGACTTAGAAAGTCAACTCCGATAATGGGTTTGGAGACATCTGCCACGATAAATTTCCAAGCAAAGTCCCGACGTAGTCCAAAGTCCAAGTGAAGTTGAAGGTAGCCGTAAGTGGAAATGACGCTACCATTTGCTGCGAAAAGTTCGTATTTGCACTTTTTAACTGGACCCTTCATCATGGTCCGTGGAAAAACACATAAGTCAGAACCTGTGTCGATGAGATAATTAATTTTACTTTTTCTATCTGTGATGAATAGACGGCCGTTACAAGTCTGGCAGTCATTCGCCGCCACTAATGGCTGCCCTGGTCTTTTCCCGACTTAAAATTACAAGGTGTTGTGCATTTCGTTGAATTAACACCGAACTTTCTATGGTACCAACATATACCGTTGTCTGAGCGTGACCGAGATCGTGAACGGAACCTAAATCGCCTGTTGCGTGACGAGGCTCTGGGTCGCCTATTCATCTGTATTGTTAATGCAGAAACTTGTTTTGTCAGCTCCGCGATCTGAATGGCCATTGCTTCCATGGCAGCGTACGGTGTAGGAATTTGTTGCGGTGGACAGGAAGATGTCGATGGAGAAACCTCGTTTAAGTGTTCTCGAGGCAAGATGTCATTTATTTTGTCAGCTAATTCAGACAATTTATCTAATGGCATCTCTGCATTTGATGCGACAATGGCCTGCATATTTTGAGGTAGTCTACTCGACCAAACTGTGCGTATAAAATTTTCGGGAACACTAGGACCTGCTAGATGTTTAAGATGACGCAAAAATTGTGACGGTTTGCGACTTCCAAGCTCTTCATGCATTAACAGCTGTTTTACCTTCTGTTCTTGGGAGGCGGAAAGTCGACGAATCAATTCAGACTTAAGAGTATCATATTTGTTTTCTCTAGGCGGATTGATAATAACATCCTCGACTTCAGCTGCGTATTCGTGATCGAGCTGGGATACAATAAAATAAAATTTTGTGGTGTCACTTGTTATATTTGACAAAATAAATTGTCCCTCTATTTGAGCGAACCAGTGCTGGTCTGTCAGGCCAAAACGGGGGTGGTCGAACACCTACTCTAAATGTATTTGATTTCATTTCTCCGCTGGTGGTGTCATCTAAATTTTCGCTTTCGACGTTCTGCATCAGAGGCGTCGTTAAATTTTTATTCGCCATGGTTTGGGTAGGGCTTATTTTTGTTCAATGTCGGATTCTATGACGATGATGAAGCTTGAAGTTTCCGAAGGTTGTTTGGTTGCGTGTTCAGATCACGTCGGGGTCACCACTGTGGTCGTGAAAGGAAAAGGGGAGATCTCCCGCCGGGCAAGGTGTTCAGCCCCGGGGAGCGGCCGACACTCCGTGTGATAGTTCGGAGATGTTCTATATATACTGTTTCTGATTCGGAATGTTGATATAGTGATTTAGGCTACTGTGTATTTCGTTTGTGGCGCGACGACAGCGCCGCCACAGTCATAATCATCGTCGTCATCATCATCATCATCATCATCATCGTCATCGACATCGGCATCATCATCTTCGTTATCGTATTCATCATCGTCATCAACATCATCGTTATCTTCATCGTCATGATCATCGTCATCATTATCATCATCGTCATCGTCATTGTCACCGTCATTGTCATCGTCATCGCCATCATCATCGTCATCATCATCGTAATCGTAAACCTCGTTGTAATCATCATCATCGTCATCGTCATCGTCATCATCATCGACATCGTCATCATCATCATCATCGTTATCGTCATCATCATCGTCATCGTCGTCATCGTCATCGTCGTGATCATCATCATCGTCATCGTCATCGACATCGGCATCTTCATCATCATCATAAAATCATTGTCATCATCATCATCATCATTATCGTCGTCATCATCATCATTATCATCACCGTCTCTTCATCATCGTATCGTCGTCGTCATCGTCATCGGCATCATTATCTTCGTTATCGTCCTCATCATCATCATTATTATCATCATTATCTTCATCATTAACATCGTCGTCATCATCATCATCGTCATTGTCATCGTTATCAACAATGTCATCGTCATCGTTATCGACATCGTCATTGTCATCTTAATCGTAAACATCGTCATCATCATCGTTATCGTCATCATCTTCAGCATCGTCGTCACCATCATCGTCATCGTCATCGTCATCATCATCGTCATTGTCATCGACATCTTCATCATCATCATCATCATCATAATCATCATCATCATCATCATCGTCATCATCATCATCGACATCTTCATCAAAATAATCATAATCGTCATCATAGTTATCATTGTCACCATTGTCATCAACGTAGTCTTTAATATCGTTGTTAACATCATCATCGTCATCATCATCGTCATAATTGTTATCATCATCAACGTTACCGTCATCATCTTCGTCATCTTCATCATCATTGTCATCATCTTCATTACCGTTATCATCATCATCATCGTCATCATCATTGTCATCGTCATCGTCATCATCATCATCGTTATCTTCTTCAGCATCATCATCATCATCGTCGTCATCAACATCGTCATCATCATCGTCGTCATTATTATAAACATCTTCATCGTCGTCACCATCATCATCATCGTCATCATTATCATAATCATTTTCATTATCATAATCATCGTTATCGTCATCATCATCATCATCATCATTGTCATCATCATCATCATCGCCATCGTCATCATCGTCATTGATATCGTCATCATCATCATTATCGTCATCATCATCATCAACGTCATCACCATCATCATCATTATCGTTAAAATCATCACCATCGTCAACCTCATCATCATCATCATCATCATGGTTATCATCGTCTCTATTGTCATCATCGTTATCTTCAACATCGTTGTCATCGTCATCATTGTCATAATCATCCTCATCATCATCGTCG